CTTGGATCAGTTTGTTTCTATTCATTACTCAATTTGCCAATCACTTATTTCTAAAATAAATACTAAAACAAAAGCAAGAAAATAGGATATTGTACCACTGATTTTGATTTTATTTACAGTGCTGTAAATTCAAGATTGAAAATGATTAGCAATAACTACCTACTGATTTCCTTTTGGAATCTTCCAAAGTTCTTTTGAAGTCTCTGTAGACAAATTAACCAGTCAAATCAATTGATTTGTTGTCAAAATAATCCTGTAAGATCTGTGGTTGACAAAAAAACAGAAAATTGAGAGGAGACTTCAAAAAATTTTGCATAGAAAAGAACACTGAGGTTTACTAAACCAAGAGTAAAATCAAAGCTGCAATTGCAGAAAGAGCTCTTCAATCATTAAAACGCTTGATACTGGTTGAAATTTTTTTTTTCACAAATTACCTCAATTGTTTCTTCAATGAAATGTCGAGGTAATTAATCTAAGAAAATATAACATGGAATTGTAAAAAAAATCTGTTTCTTAATTTTGTTTAACAGATCTCTGAAAAAGAAAACAAAACCAATTTTTGATGGGAAAAAATTGTTTGAAAAACTCGAGGTGGATTTTTTTCTGAAAGCGATAAAAAACACAATTTACAATTAAACTTTTTGAAAGTTCAGCATGAACTACGAAAACGCCTCCCACTTACATATCTCAAAAAAGAGGTTTATTCATGGAAACGAGCTGATGAAACATTGAGTTTAAATCAATTTTTCAATAACAAAAGTAAAAATTCGGAAAATATGGAACCATTTACTATCGAGTTGAATTCCAGTGCGTTTTTAATCTGTTATTGGAATAATAGTCTTAGTTCTGTTACAACCTTTCTAAACAACAAAATCTTTCAAAAGAATGGGAAATTGCCTGCTATTTGCTTTTATCCCTCTTTGTACCAAAATGTGATAGAAGGGAAAATCATATTCATATGTGAAAGAGGAAAACATGAAAAGAAAATAAGATTGAACAGGTGTTGTTTTCAAGTATGGTTGAAAAGGTTGTAGCAATGAACAACAATATTCGAGAATTTCTAGACTAATAAGTGTTTGAGTATAATGGAGTCTATGCATCAGTAGATAAGATAACTCATAAGAGTCCAGCTTCTTACATGAGAATCAATTGTAATTTTTGTTCAAACTCATGACATGAGTCAGGCTTTTGGTTTTGTTTCAGAGCAAACTCGGACAAGGATTCTAATGAGCAGAAAGGACCGCATTATCTTCAAAAATGATTGCAATGTTTTCCGTTCATTTGAAAAATGGACACCCAGTATCTAGTGGACAGCACAAAAATTGTCTGTCCTTTACAAGTTTTTAGATTAAAAATTGTTTGGAAATCCTCTCCACAGTATCAAAAAAGAGTTAACAGGTATTATAGGTGAAAAAATATTTCTAAATCTGAAAGAATTACCAGAGTTACGCTACTACTCCTTCAATATTGAACAACTATATAAGATCTATACTTCATAAGAAATGCTGGATCAAAACACTTTTTTTTCTCAATTTTTTGAGGATTTGCAAGACAAAGTGGATTGGAGTGATTTTTTGTTAACCACTATGAGGATTTAAATCTCGTTGATCTAAAAAATTATAGTGTCAGCTACCAAAAAAAAACATGAAATAGAATTTCTTAAAATTGTCGCTCTAAAAGGTTCAGAAGTTGTCCGTGTACGCAAAATAATAAACTTTTTGGTAAAAGATCTTGACATATAATCATTTTTTAAAATCTGGCGGTAAAAATTTATCCATTTCTCGATAAAGTAGGTCGAAAAAGCAGTCGTTCTTGCAAAGCAAACTTTGACGATGTTATTTGAATTTGAATCAAAATAGTCATTTCCAATACCAGGCATTTCCAAATTCTCCTTTGAAGATTTTTGATCAAATCCCACTACGAGAAATCATTTTTTCATCCCACATTGACGAATTATTTCCCAGTACTTCTCGAGACGAAATACATTTAATACGTGACTCATTATACGTTGATACGCGTGATACGCTTGATACGCTCGTAATACGCGTGATTCTCTATTTGCATGCGCGTGAATTCCATCTTATTTTAAGGCTTCAAACGCTTTAGTAAGAATTGTTTGAAACTTTCAAGAAAGAAATGGCTGGAGAGAAAACAAAACCGAAGGATGATTCACACTAGCAACCAGTAGCTTTTAAACCTTGTGCAAACAATCTACTACATTCCAAAGTTTCAAACTGTGCAGTTTATTTTACCCTAGCAAAATATATCATTGCCAATAATTTGTTTCCTCGTAAAGCACAAAAATCCACAAAATTAGCTCAACATCAGTGTGTAAAGAAGGAATTCCTGCTTTTCATGAATATAGTTCTGAAGAGTTTCCGAACAAACTTGATAGGCATTCGTTCACTGATAAAGCAATTTCTTCAAAAAACTATAAAAAACTCTATGAAGGACTCTCAATTGTTTTGGCTAAATAGTACTACCAAATACCATTTTTTGAAGAAAAAAAATCAATCGAACTATGTTTTTCAAGTTGCCAGATAATCCATTGTTTGTTCGCTGTTTACTAAAACATTTTTTTAGCTAAGCCAGATCAAAAAGAATTGCAATTGAATCTGTAAGAGGAACTTTTTCATTACAATTATTTAGAAATGATAGTCAGTACCTTTATAATACTTCCTAATCAATGCCGGTTTCTAAATGACAAAAATAAATTAAAATAATGCCCCCAATAAGAGTCATTGCACTTTAAAAAAATTCAGTTACTCCAGGTACTTTTCATGAAAATTAAATTATTTATCAAAAATTTAATTTGAGAGAGCTGAGAATTATTTGGAATGGAAGGAGAATTATGTTCAGTAGACACGATATCTCATTTTTGCCATTATCTTAAAACAATGGACCCAAGAAATTTTAACGATATATTTTTTCAGCTTTTCCAATTGAAGAAATTCAAAGACTATTTCTATTCTAGCTCATTACAAGATTAAATTAAGCAGTTGCATTATGCAGAATGCACTAAAGACTTGAGATGTTTTCAATTTAGTTTGGAGCAAGTAACGGTCGTGACAGTCTGATGGAATGGTCAAATAGACAAATTGGTAAAAGTCTTTAAAAAATGTTTTAAAAACTTTTAGATTCCTACAATTTTTTACGGAGTGTTTCATCATTTTTCCTCGTAATCTTCATGATGTTTTTCTTCAGATATAAATCTCCAGCAAAAGTAGGCAATGAATGCTAAATAGTCCATAAACCGAAAAATTTCTACAACCTATTTATATTTGTATGTTTTCATACATATATATACATATTTATATACATATTTACAATTATAAATAGGTTGTAGAAATTTCTCGATTTATCGATTATGTAGCATACCGGTTTGCAATAGCACGCCTAACCGATCAGCCGTGTGGGATGAAATATGCAATGAAAAAGTGATGAAATTGCCCTCAAACTTACAACGAACTTAATTACGAGATTTCAAGAAGTTTTTCTTGAAAGAGTTATTTTTTAATTAAATAAGACATAATCATCAATCCAGATGCATGGTGAACACAAATATTATTCGGGTCAATTTTTCTTTCACCTATTTCAGTGTTCCGTGATAAATTCATGTCAAGGCCATTTACAAGCAAAAAATTATACATAACGTGTTGAGTGAAAAATAGTTTTTTGAAAATCGAAATATATATATATATATATTTCGATTTTCAAAAAACTATTTTTTACTGAACACAATATGTATAATTTATTCAGCGAAACGTTCTCAATCGTTTAATTTTGAACTGAAAATCGCGAGCAGAAAAAAAAATTGAAAATATATTGAATTTCCAAATTAAATAAGAAACCCTCAATCAATTTCAGTCGATATCGTGGACAAAGTTAAATTTAAAACAAGATAATTTTGATGTCTTTTTTAAACGAAAAACTACTAATTAATCATAATAAATACACACGGACATGAAAAATTGGAAGAATATTAGTCGCAACAAAAACTAGCTATGGTTTTATTAGTCTCCGCATCATAGCATGCTGTATTATGAAGGTTTTCTTATTAAATAGTCCCAATCGAAGGATCAATGGTCTCCGCACTCTGTTTCAATAAGGTTGCACCCGAGTAAGAAGCTGAACTAAAGGTTGCTCTGGAACTAAAGCTTAAACGTTTTCTTGAACATTTGAGTCAGGTGATTAATTTGTTGTAATATACAGTAGGCGTCCCGCTCTACATGAGGACGAATACAAACCTACTGATTTTCTCGCAACGGTTTTTACTCAAACATTGAATCATACCCTAAAAAAATTTGGGAGTCTGTTCAAGTGAGGTTGGTTCGTTTATTTTTCGGGTCTTATAGTCTTTTCCAATACCTAGTAGATTTCGTTAGTGATACAACTCTCATAGAATTCTTTGCAAATCTAGAAAGTGAATCGATGTAATTCCGGAGGTAGTCGGTAGCATTATATGGCTTTTATTGGTCTACTCCTAGTATTGATTGTAAAAGAACGGAACGGCTTGCTTTGGATGATTTCGTGTGTATCTTTGGCAGATAATTTTTCTCTTGCTCGGGAATTGTTTAGCTGGCCAGTCATAAACAAAAAAAAATCCTTCCCGTATACCGACTGAGCTGTTCCAATGAAAAGAAGCAAATTAGAAACAGTAAACTCTTAATGGGGTCTTGGAAGGATTGAAATGAATCCATTCGGGCGAAAGCAATCAGTTTTTTGCTGTTAAAAAAATTAATTTTAATTCTCAATTATTAATGACTTACAACGCAAACTTATGTTAGCATAATTCATAGCGGTCATTAAAATAATCGTCATTATGGAAGAAAAACACTCGAAGCCTAAAAATTTTGAAATTATTCTCGATGAGCGGGGAATGCTCAAGGAAAACTGAACGGTTTTCCTTGATTTTGAAAGAAATAACTGCTCTTTTTTTCAAATTTAATGACTGAATTTTGATTGGATGTGGTTGAATGGGACTAGATTCGAGAAATTGGCTTATTAAATTTTTTGTAGAAAAAAATCATAATTCAATTTAATAAAATTGACTTTTCAAATTAGTTGTCTATTAATCAAAAAAATGTTACTACACAAGCGACGGGCGTTTTCGATTTGCAAAGTAACTATCAACGCCTCTTAAACTATTGCCCATATAAAACCAGACGGCCCAGCTCAAAATACGATGCTCAATTTCTTGGTTGAAAGAAATAAATTTGAACAGGAGGATAAACTTTTTGTGAACACTCTGTCCTCAACTTCGAAAAAGGTTGAATTATGAGATGGTTGAAAAATGTGAGAATTTTTTGAATCATGTAGATATATTCAATGTTGCAGATGCATAGTAAAGACCGACTAAAGCCATTTTATAAACTCATTTAGCGAACAAATGCTAAGCAAATCTGATCATAAAATAATCATTAAGTTCAAAGTCAAAAGAAATTATCTCTCTGTTGAAAAATTTTGTTGAAAAAAAGGATAATTTTATTGAGAATAATCCACTCTCAACTTCTAAACTGATTGAATTATGAGACGGTAGAAGATTTCTATTCGATCCAAGTAAATTTTATCAATGTTGCAGATAGATGATAATAACAGATCAAAGCTATCATAAAAAAATCATTTAGACAAACTGAGATTAAAATATTTAGGTTTGAAGTCATTTGGATTTATCTCTGCGTTTGTAATAACAGCAACATAAAAAAGATATTTTCCAGAAAAGACTTATTGTCTTTGTTTTTTCACCAGAAGTTGAGCTTTTCCGTCACTTTTATGTCACATGTTTCGCACAAAAGAGGGTAATGGCCAAACCTACGACATAAAGAGTCTGTTATAGAAAAACTAGAACAAGTTTGTTTTCAAAACGCGTTTTTATGCTTCTTCACTTTGATTCTTTATCAATTGGAGCACATCTGCGCTATTGCATTTTGATTGTTTGTTTTTATTTTCTAAAATCTCTCCTGAGCTCAAGCCAGTGGAAGCAGAAGTAGCATTGCAAGTACCATTTAGAATCTTCTAGATAACTGATGTTAAACTTAAAAAAAACCAGCAAAGGTTTTTGTTATTCTGGTAAATGGTAAAACTCTCGACTTACCTTAAAATTATGCTGAACAAATAGTCACATTTGTTTTCATAATAGGCGATAATTATTTTGCTCACAATGCCACACTTTAGCTTGAGGTGATGCATCAATTACGTTTTGAAGCTCCACCTTCTTCGATATCTGTTCCTCTCGAGAGACACTACCTAACAATCTTTGCTGAATAAGAATTTGACGTTTTTTCTGTGGTTGAAAACGCAAAAAAGTGTTGATGGCTTCAGCACGCCAATTTTCTTCCAATCTCTTGTTTTTTCTAAAATTGACAAGCCGAGAAACAGACACCGCCCAAGGAGAGTGTTTTAAAAAATAAAACATTCCCGAGGTTTAACTTGGCACAAACTGAGAATTTACTTACCTGCTTCCAAAAAATATGCTACGCTACCAATTTCGCCGGCAAGTTTTTGTTATGCATTATAATTTTTCTTTCTAACTTCATCATTAACTCTCTTTTGGGTCAAAAGTTAATTTGTTTGAAAAATGTAATCAGGTAAAATAAAAAAAGGAATCAAAAGCTTGGAATCAGAAGGAAAGATGTATCGAGTCTTTTTTGTTAAGGTAAGCCTAGCAAAATCTATCAAGTATAAGAGGTGGAACTTGCGTTCATTGCCAAATATTAGGATAGGGGTCCATCAAAACATTACGGACCTACTTCTAAAATTTTTGCTATAGGTGGCGCACGCCCCCCCCCCCCTCCCCCCCCCCACTCCCACCAAACCCTTCTCTACTTAGGAAGGACCAACCTTAGAATCCGGGACACAATACATTTATCTTTCTGTTTTCTGCGCGCTTGTTTGAAAAGCAAATTGTATGCAAAAACATGTTTCGACATCAGTACACCGCTTGGAAATTTCCCGATTGGTGTCTAATATTTGGCGATTATAAGACCATAGCGTGATCGTAATCGACTAATTTGGATTTACATTGTTTATCTCAACAAATTTCAAAAACGATCGAAAATATTTTATTCAATTGAAGCGAGAGGTTTTTCTCACGACAATAAAATTCAGTGTATTTGGTTATAATTGATTAGACTGGATTGAAAGAACTGTTTTGTTCCTGGAACTGGTTCAAGTTTGCTTGACCAACGTTGTTTTTTTTTGGCTAGGATAACTTTTTCCGCCTGCAGTTTTGTCTTTTTTTTTCTCATTTTTGCTGATCCTTACATACTCCCTAATTCAATTTATGTTTAATAATGTCCATCAAATCATATGACTTCCTATGTTACGCAAATTTTGCAAAAACTAATCATTCGAAATAAAAATCAGGCTTTGTGTGAAACTTCTTCGTAGAAAGATTTTTTTCGGAAATTCTTTGGAATAAAAAATAGTTTAATGCAATTTCATGGCAATAAAATAGATTGTCATGATAATATATGGCAAAAACGAAATATTTTTTGAGATTGAATGAATTTTTTGCGAAACTAGAAATGAAGAAAACAAGCATTTCTTATATAAAAAAGGTATTTTATGCGACATTTTGTTAGGGTTCAATAATCGTTTTCTGTGTTTATATTCCAATCTGTTCAAAGCGAGCCAAAATTTTGTATATGTTATTGAAAATGAACACCAAAGCGCTTTCTAAAGTACAAGATGATGTATTCAGCATATAGTAACGGACTAATTGTTCCGATTTTTAGAAGAAGTGACGGAAAATTTCTGTTCGGATTTGTTTTGCACTTTAAGCGTGATAACAACTCTGAGTGATTTTTGTATACCACCAGAAAGGTATTGTTGTTCTGAGCTCAAATCTATAGTTTTTATTATGGTTGCTTAAAGATTGCCATTTCGATCAATTTTGCAGAATAAAACCGATATGAAACGTGCTATTAACTAACACTTGAGCAGATTTTAAATCCGTCTTAGAAAATTTTTTATGTAGGAACAAGGATAGCCAGTTACTCTGCACGTAGTACAAAATTTTCCGACCATGGTCTTTAGAAAACTAGTTTAGAAAGTTTTTTCCATTATAGTGTAGTTTTTCTGCTTGATGTGATCAAATGATCTGACTTAAAAGTACAATTTAAGCATATTGGACAAAAAAACTTGCTGAAGAAACATGACTAGAAAAACTAAAAAGATTTAGAAAATTTTTTTTTCAAGATTTTTCGCAGAAATTTTTTGAATTTTTGAAGTTTTCGGTTATGAAGCTTAAAAATAAATTTTGGTTATGAAGCTATGAAGTTTCAAAAACTCGTTTTATCTGCTTAAAATTAAGATTTAAGGTTTTTAAATAAGCATAATTCAGCTGTTGTAATCCTGCTCGCTTGCTTTAATCGCTCGATTTAAGACAAAAAATCAAAAAATTCAAACCGGTTTTTCTCAACTTTGAGACAAAAAATTTTGGATATTTTTCAACGTGGTTCGAATCACAACTGAAAGGGTTTTAATATGATATATCACTCAACCCAGTCCGATGGTTTGAATTGATTATTTGTGGTACCTGATTTTGCGTGGAAAACAAAAGAAAAACACTAAAACACACCCGAATACAAAATTCCTCCCCATTTTTCAAATGGTCGTAACAATGAGGCATATTATTAGATATATTTAGTATTTTGCAATTTGTGGAACATATCATGTTTTATCTAACGTAGTTTGTGAGTATTTTTTGAAACTTTCATCAATTTTTCAAAGAACCTTATTCGATAAGGCTAAAAAGACAGTCGAAAACATTCTGGGCTTTTCCCTGATGCGCGGAGTTTTGTTAGAAAACTTAAAATACATCAAATCAATTTGAAAGAACTTCTGAGCAGGTTTAAAAATAAACTTTTGTATTTTTCACTTGAAGTAAAATGCCCGTTTATTATCACAAATCTATCATAACGTCTTTCTTCAACCTCTCGTAAATTTGCAAAAAAAAATACTATAGGTAAAATATTTTTTAAAGTTTGAGCTCAGGGCATTTATAGATTTCAGATGACAACAAAAATCCCATCAAAAAAGAATAGTTAAAAAGTGGCGAAATTTATTTTAAGATTAGAAAAGCACGAGTACAATTTATTCGTCACCCTGAACAAAAATTAGTAATAAATTATTACGACCTTGAAATGTATGCAAAAATTTTTATTAGGATTTTTCAAAAATTGTACAAATGTTGCATTTGCAAAAATTTGCTTTAGACCACGACTCGTTTTGGGTTCACTCTTTCACTAGTTTTTCGGTATGCGTTCTTGATGAAACAAAAACTGGTTCAATAAACGATTGAACTTCAAACCTTAATTGAGAAACGATTGTTCCGACCACTAAGTTGTTCTAAACTGGCCTCCTCATTTTTCTAGCCATCAACTTTTTCCTTCAGGTTTCTAGGTTGACACAAAATGCTTGTCATACGTTTTTCATTTATGAAAAAAATGCTTATCATACTCTTTCAAACATTTTCATAGAGTAAAAATAACTGTATGAAAATAGCAAAATGAGAAATTTTTCCATTATATGAAATTTCCAAATTGCATAAAAATAGCATGAGAAGCTATTTTTCCATACTATGAAATTGTATGACAAGCAATTTTTCCATACTATGAAATTGTATGACAAGCATTTTTTCCATAAATGAAAATACGAAAAATTTTTGTTTTGAAACTTTGTGTTTCATCCGAAATGTAACTTTTGTATATGGCTAGAATAATTTTGGTTTGAAAAGGCCTGTTTTTTTACAAATTTATTTTTATCTTAGCAATTGAAACAAAAAAATAAAAACCGTGTTTACAAAAAAATACATTTTTTTTATTTTGAATTTTTTGGGTGAAAAACTCATCTTGGATTATGTTATAAACACAAACAGTCGAGTTTTGCATGCACCATTTTTTTAATAAAATTTAAATTTGAGCGCAAAAGCAAGTTTTCAACCAAAAAAAGGATTAAATTTTTTTTTACCTCAAATTTGTGTTTTTGGTCATGAAAAAAAGCATATCATACAATTTTCATTTATGAGAACTATATGATAAGCATTTTTTCCGACCAAAAGTAAAATTTTGTTTTTGATTGTCAAAATGCCCTCTACCTTAGATATGATTATTTAAATCTTTTTAAAGTTACCCGGACACACTTTTTGGTTATTTTTGAAATTTTTAGTTTTCTATGACACAATGATTATCTTATAATTTTCATTCATGAAAATTTTATGATAAGCAATTTTTTTATCGAAAATTTTAAATCCTTTTTTTAATGACCAGAAAGCTTCAAAAGAGGCAAATAGACCAAAAAATGTTCATTAACAATTTTTAAAACACTTTTCAAATTTAGCATGAATTTTGTATGATAAACAATTTTTTCCATAGACTTCATATATGAAAATGTATGATAAGCATTTTTCTTCTATGGACGTCAAACCGGGGTTGAAATCAATTTACTTTAGATCATTAAATTTTTACTTATTGATTTAAATGTTCGAACGTTCAAAATTCCATGTTAAGATGTTTTCTCAAAGCCCGGGTTGACCTCCATAAACCGAAAATGCTTATCTTACATTTCCCCACACCGAAAATCTTATCATACAATTGCCTACATCAAATGTATGGAAAAATACTAATCATACAATTTTAATACAATTTTTTAAAAAATTTCCAAGTAAAATTGAAATTGCCCCAAAAATTTTTTCGTTTTTTTTTCAACCTCAAATCGAATTTTGTACTCAAACAAACATTTTCCAAAAAAAAACTTTGCATACAAAATTTAATTTTTTGTCTGCATAACGTAGTCGACGATGCACAAAAATTAGAGTTTTTTCCGTTTCTCTGGATTAATTTTTTTAAACAGGCTAAAATTTCCTGTTTTTTTTTGTATGGCATGTTTATATATGCCTTGATCAATGTCTGATAAGTTGAAAACTCAATTTTTAAAAAAATCATCTTTGAAAAATTTTGCCAAAATTTAAAAGTTTGATGTTTTCACTATATGATTTGTGCAGAGTTACAATTCAGATCGCTTGCAATGAATTGTCAATGACAGACGATCAACCTTTTGGTAACTCTAGTGTTGAGTACACCATGGGTTTAGTCACTTGTATCCCAAAAATTTTGAGAAATGGAATTTAGAAACAATCAATTCTTTGGTTTATGAAAAAATGCTTGTCCGACAATTTTCATTCATGAAAAAATGCTTGTCCTAGACTTTTTTAAACAATTTTCTTAGTCTATGAAACTGTAGGAAATTGTAGGACAAGCATTTTTTCAGATATGGAAATTGTAGGATAAGCATTTTTGGTCAACCCGGGAGGCTTTCCAGCTAAGAAAACATCTCTCGTCCCCTAAATGCGCCGGTGTGTAAACTTGTTTTGAAATAGAGAAGCCCCAAAGGGTTTCAGCGCTGGTTTCTCAGGGTTTCAGCGCTGGTTAAAACAAATTCTTCCAAGACAAACTGCCATAATAGCCTGTAGTTCCTTCACCACTTGTTGCAGAGTGACCGAAACAAAATGAATTAAGACCCTTCCTTCCTGCATCTTTATCTTTCCGATACCCCCTCTCGGCAAGCTCATTATTGATAATTGTTTTATGATCATTTGAAAAGTTCACTATTGTTTGGAGAAAATCATCCATCTGGCATCTTTTTTTCATTGAGGACATGAAGGCGACTGTATTGCGTTGTCGTTGAGAATTTCTGAAACACGCAAGTTTTCTTCAAAAAATTAAAACTCTTGAACAAAACGAGATAAATCAAGCATTAGCGACAAGAAAAAAGCACATATCATCAATTGACATGACTATAGAACAGAAGATGAAATACCTCACTACAAAAAAAAAAAAAAATTAAATGTGATTTGAAACATCAGTGCGTAACCCTGACTGTTACGACTGCCCCTCGAAGTTGAAGAAAATTTTTTGCTTAAAAAATTTATAAATCAAGTTTTAGGAATTAGAAAGTGAAGGTCTTTTTTCATTTCGTATTTGCTTATATCCCCTGCTTTTAAAAAAATAAATGGATGAAATAAGCGTATCGCATCGTTTAAATATACCAAATTGTTGACCGACTTTAAATTAGAATGAAGTAATTTACTGATTAGCTGATTAGAATTTAACATGTACCTGAAATTTGCAATTCTCAAATCCTAGAATTTACAAGAAGTCACAGCTAAAATCTGTTTAAATTTAAATTTAGTAGTTTTCAAAACAACTTAACTTTATAAAGAAAAAATTCCCCTGTAGATATTATGGGAAAAAACGTTCCTTAGTTCTATATTTTCAAAATTGGCGTCGATTATTTTAATCTAGATGAAATAACAACATTTTTGTCAACTGTTCGTCTTACTCATGTATTTATCGGCAAAATCTTGTGCGCCAGGATAACCCATCTTCAGTCGCTTTTCTTTCATCATTAGCAACTGGTAGTAATTCTGAGTCGCCCAGTCCAGCTGACAGGTCCCGTCTTCCGGCAATTTCACCCCATACATCAAAGCAGAGTTCCACGCTTCCGTGTTTAGCATATAAACATCGCGCTCTATACAAAAAGTGCTAATTGCAATTTCATAATGCGCATTCAAAATCAAAAAATCTTGCGTTTGTTTTAAAATAGCCTCGGCTCAGCTTTTCATGTGTTTCCTAGATGCTAAAGTATTGAGTAGTTACGTAGCGTTGAAAACGTCCAGGCGAGCATAACGTAATATTTACCCTTCACCCAAAAAAAATTACAAAAATTTACATTAAAAAAAAACTCTTGCAGCAAAATTACTAAATTGTTATGTTCTAACTAAAATACGCCCTTTAAAGTTTTTTGTATTAATCTCTCTCACTTTTGAGAGGCAGAAGCAACAGAATTTTGCTTTTTTGCAAGCAATTAGTTCTTTCTAAGACGTAAAAGACGCAAAAAACATCATTGTAGTTCATTAAGTTTGACAAAAGTTGGGCTATTTTGTCGAGCTCAAGAATTCTGGGCGTGGGGTTGCTTCTAACGTTAGCTTTAATTTTATTTAGTTTTTGCACGTGCAATGGCTCGTTTTATAAAAAAAAACAATATTTTATCAAATTTTACTTTTTTCACATTTTTGATGTGGTTTCTGCCGTAATTTTCAATCCAGTTTGAACTTTGTCGATGTTTGGCCAGGTAAATTTAAACCACTTACATCATTTCTGTTTTCTAAACTTTTTACATCATAACACAAACAAAATGCGAAAAGAGTAATAACCAAATTCTGGCATTTTGGACATGTCTTCCGATGCCGAATGAATACGGGTTGCCAAAAATTTAACCAGACAAAATTAGTTAAAACAAGCCAATGAACTTTTTCAGAAAAAACTCGTGCTCACAAATTTTTAACTTTTAGACAGACTTTGTGTCTCAGGGTTTCAGCGCTGGTTTAAAATTATACGGGCGACCGAAAAAATATTGAATTGTAAAAAAAATTATCTATTTTGGTTGACTTCAGAAAAAAAAGATGAAGCTAAAAATCACTCAGAATTCAAGCGCAATTAGTAAAAGCGGATTTCATTAGAGCGCGACATAAAGTTTCACCAAAACTGATAATTTTTTCTTTTTAGTCAATCAAATTAAAACAAAACTGCCAATTTGAAAAATAACTGCTTAAAAATTATATGCAAACGAGCCTTTTATGAAACCCAGAAAAGTTAAGAAAAACAACGAAAAATTTTGAAAACTATTTTTGAACAAAAAATAGCATTTTTTAAAATGAAAAACAACGTTTTATGGCTCTCCAAGGAAAATAATTTCCACTTCCAAACAACTTTGCTGCAAATTAATTAGAATAAACCTCAAATAAATTTTATTTGGCCACTTAAGAGGCTCATTCTGATATAGTTTTTTCGGCAAATGAACCGGCAATTTTGATTGACTGAAACCCAAAAATTATCCTTTTTAGGGTAAGACTTTGGACTCAATTCAGCAAATAAAAATTCTCCATAATGATTTTGCTAACACTCTAAGCATATTTCGTCTAAACTCTACTAAACTTGAAAAAAATCACAATTTTGTTATATATTTCTTTTCAATTTCCAAATAAGCTTATCAATTCATAAGTTTTTCTGCTTTGTCCTGATAACTTAGGTCTGCCGTGTACCTAAAAATCCAGGTTTGCATGCAAATTGTGATATGAATCAGTAGATTGATTTTCTTCAGTTTATGATGTCCATTTGATTTTTTTGCTACCTATAACTTCTGTAAGAAATTAGAGAACAGTTTAATTTGCCTAAAATGCGTGGAATTTAAACCGGTAGAGAGATATTTTTTTTAAAAATAATAATAAAATTTCAAAAACACAAAATAAATTTGCCAAGGAGCTGACATACGCTAACAAAATTGTTCTCGTGCCAATTGCGAACTGATTTTTCTTATTCGTCAGATGTTATTTATTCGGAAAACGGTGTTCGTCACACGACAGGAATCCTCCTCTAGGCTATCTGCGCTATTTTTTTAAGCTTTTTTAGGATTTTTTTGAAGAAAAAAAACGGTGAGATCATGTCGAGATAGATTAGTGAAGCGTTTTTATCTTTGATCTAAAGTCAACTTAATCGGTCAAAAAAGATGTTAGATTTGTTGTGATTGATAAAAATTTTGAAACGGTTTCGATTCACTGGATGGAGTAAAGTTTTGGTTCTTGACTTCAAAATGAGCAATTTAGGCAATTCAGTTTTGTTCCGATTAGTACCAGAGAATGATTTTGCCGATAATTTTAGCTTCAACTTTATAAAAGAGAATAGTGTTATAGTAAGTACGATAAAATTGGAAAGGTGTAGTTTAATTAAAAAGAAAAAACGACTTTTGCGTGCAAAACTTATCTTTTTGTTTCAGTAAACAAAAAAATCATTTCTCAAGGTTGCTCTGAAGTTCAAGATTGCATGCAAAAATTTAACTAAATTGGCAGAATAAAAAACAAAAGGTTAACAAAAAAAAAACATTTCTCAAGGTCGCTTTCAGTAAACAAAAAAAACATTTCGCAAGGTTGCTCTGAAGTTCAAGATTGCATGCAAAAATTTAACAAAATGCTCTTTCCAACAAAATTGTCTGCTCCAACTCTTTGTAAGTTTTTATACTGACGCATGCAAATGGCCCAGTTGGGGAAGGCGCATGTGTAGTCATCCAGGCCGTAAACATGGTTCCAGTTGAAGTCCTTCTCACCGTAGTCCTTCCTACACACACAAGCTTCGCCTCCTCTTGAACCCACAACTAAACATAGCCAAAAACACAGCTAGGAAACTTTCAATGATTTCGAGGAAATTTTCTCAGCCGTTCCGAGTAAACTCGTGCGTATTGTTGGATTTCAACTTTTTTCATGATTGATTTTTTCGAAAAAAGCACTATCGCGATAAAAAGTATTGTTTCCAAAATTATCTTTAATACTAAGAACTGAACCAAATTCAAGTTGTACTTTTAGACATTTGCTTTTTTCTTAGAAAATTTAACTTTTCCTCTTTCTGTTAATTGATAATTAGGATAAATTTTTGTAATTTTCTAGAGATAGAAAGCAGCTAGCATCGTTAGCTCCATAAAAAATTTTCAAAAACATGGGAATCTTGACTGGGCGTCTTTCAAAACTTCGATGAAAAATGGACCAAAATAAAATAATTTTCGGATTACCTCTTTTAACTTCCCCTCTTTTAATCGAAATGGAAGAAAAAAATAAGTTTTTCCTTAGATTTTTTGATATATTGTTTGGATAAAATTGCAGATCTTTGTATTTCTTATGATTCAAATCATTAAAATACCATGTTTTCTTTTGGAAAATTTCAGCTCTGGCAATTGGACAAAAAAAACTATAAACATAAATCAACCTTTTTCAATCTAGTTCCTTTTTTGAAGTGCTCTCAATTTTGTTGAGAACAAAAGTGATAAATGTGCCAATGTGCTTTTTTGTTTTACTGGTCTTTAAAACGCATTGCACCGGAGATTTGATTCTTTTCCAGTTCCCATTTCTGATTTTCTTTCAAAACTCAATTTGCGAAAGTTGATTCAAAATAGTTTTGTCGTTTCAAACTGCAATAAACCGTGCAAGCATGAACAAGTGATCAAGTTTTAGTTTGTACAACTATTTTTTTGTTTTTACAAACATCTACTGTAATTTCGTGGCAGTCGTAATAATCTTTTTTCTGACGCTAATTCAGTCTAAAAATCTATATTCAATTAATTATAGTTCTTATCTTCAATTAAGAAGTAATTTCTGTCTTTTTATTTATTTTAACAAGCTTTTATCCACAAAATCTATTGCATTTTCGGCCAGCTTGTATTTAAAAATTATCACTGTTATTTTTTCAGCAAATTGTGCAAATAACTTTTTATAACTTTGCAACGTAATGTTTCTACAAAAGAATTTTTTTAGGTTAACTACTCAAATTAAAAAGTTCTGGAATTATGTTGATTTAAACAAGCGGAATAATAGATGGCATTGAGCATATGAACACGCCAAAAGAAAATAAACAATGTGCATAAACAAGCCGAAGTATAAGCCAGCCGAAAATGGGCAGGGCTTTCATAAACTAGTCGAAAGTTCCTTCAAACAGTATATAAACCTGCTAGCAATTACGTAATTTGGATGATTTTGACAATTCTTACATAAACGGTTTCATAACTACAAATTAACATTTCCGTATTTTCGGCTAGCTTATAATGTGGCTGGTTTATACTTCGGCTTGGTTGTATGCCACCGAAATAACTTTTGCAAAAAACTGCAGAGCGTGTTTTTAGATCGTATTATTTTAATGTTTGTAAACAGTTTTTTAAAATATTTTTTTTGGAGAACGCCCTCCCTCAAAAACTTAAGCAAGCTTGTTTAACATCAAGTTTTCGTGCTTGAAAAGCACTTGCGTTCTCATTTTTTAGGTACCGGTTAAAAGTCAGTTCATTTTTAGTTACCGGTTAAAAGTCAGTTCATTTTCAGGTACCGGTTGAAATAGAACTAATTTTTTGTTCATTTCTAAACATGAAATGAGACTGCTCGTATCAGAGCAAAGCCCTGAATATTCCGACTGTCTACAAAGCAGTGTTCGCTTTCAAAAAAAAACAATGACTTTTTCGAAGAAAAAAAAGTAACAAAAAAATTCCATATACAGTACAAAGTGATAGATTTTGCTCCTAGTAACAAATAAATCCTGGCAAATAAGCTTCAACCAATTTGGAACCATTTACAAGATGGATTAAATCTCCGCTTACGCGTCAATTGCCCGAAATATATCACGCGTTGATTGTCCCAAATTGGCCAATATGGCAATCTTTAAACCCCCATAACTCTACGAAATATAATCACAGGTGAAATACGTATTCAAATTTAAGCTCAGGACAACAATATCTTTTGAATGATTTTTTAAAAATCTCCGTCAAAAATCCTAAGTTAAAAAGTCGAAATTCTTCTGAAAAAAAACGCAACCCGAGCAAAAATATTCCGCTACTTTCGTAACAAAAGTCGGAACAATAAATCTAATAAAAAAAGTGAAATGTGAAAAAAGAGAGAAGGCGTTTGAAAAGTAGAGCGGATGTTTGTATGTTACAGTCGCCTTGTCCTAAACAAACTTGGTCAATTGTAAGATGTAAAAATTATGTATGGTGGTTATGGAGTATAAACGAGTTACCATATGAAGCCCAAGTATAAATGACAAGGAAACTTAATAGCAAAACAAGTAAGCGCATTCAGAGTTTTGGTAATTTTGGGCTTCATAACAGAAAAGACCCCTGATTTTGACTCACTCCGGTCATCTGGTTGTCCAGGTTCAAATAAGCCAGCTGTCATGGGTTCCCCCGAGTACATGTTCAGGAAAGGGTTGGATGAATTGCCAAAAAAGCGAACGTAGCCAGTCCAAAAACCACTATGTTTCAGGTAAGCCGGGCTTGAGAGGATCTGATCCTTGTATTCCACCCAGAAGTATTGCCGCAGCTTTTGCTATAAAATAATTTAAACATTGACGCCAGCTTTAGCAAAAAGGGGTATAGAAGCAAATATATAAATGATCAGTTTAAAAAATCAAGAGGATTAAAATAATTTAAAAAGCTGCCAGTATACTTAATTTAGAAACAAATAAGAGTGCTCGTATCAAAGCAAAGCCCTGAATGTTCCGACTGCCAAATAAGGTATATGGAGCAGTAAAAACATTTAAAAAATTAAATATAAGAAAATAAAGCGAAAAAATATATATATTTTTTTTTCACATTTTGAGATTTTTTGAGAAAATCATCCCTCCACGGCATATAAAGTACAGAGTGATAAATTTCGCTCCTAGTAGGTAATCAATTATTGAAAATAAACTTCCTTCAACCAATTTGGAACGATTTCTAATGCGGATTAAATCTCAGCTTACGCGTTATTAGTGCGAAGTATATCGCTCATTATTTGTCCCAAATTGGCAACCTTCAAGCCCCCGTAATTTTACAAAAAATGATCACAGGTAATTTTCTTTCAAACTTAGGCTCAATAAAACAATCTCTTTTGAATGATATTTTGAAAATTTCTTTAAAAATATGTTAAAAATGGCTAGTTGAAGAGTCGAAATTTGTCTGAAGAAAAAACCAGCCGAGCAAAAATGTTCCGTTACTTTCGTTACAAAATTCGGAACAATAACTCGTTTTGATTTCTTTGAAGGACTTATAGAGCATCAAATTTTGATTCTGAATTGTTTTTGTTACGATTTTCAAAGAAAGAATCGCAACATTTGTTCTCGGGATTTTTCTCCTTACAAATTTGTACTGGAAATTTTAATACAGTCTGATACATAAATTAATACTATGAGTTCAAAATTACAAAAGAATACTACTTGCAACCTTTTTTTGTAATACTAGAGGGTTTTGAAATTTAAAATGTTTTTATTTAGTCTTACTGTCATGTTTTTTTTATGGTTTCAAACTATTATGGTGTCAAAATTGGCCATTGCTTCAAAAAGTCAACAATGACTCGAAATTCAAAGCTATTATCATTTCCAATCTGAGCTTTTCATTATTTTATAAATTCAATTTTTTGAATTGTTTTCCATTTATATCACAGTAATTTGAAAGATTGTCTCTGGTGTGAATTTTTATGAGATAGTTTCTTTACTTTGACGATTTTATTTGAGTAGTTTTTGTAGGATGATTTTGAAAACCAACTTTTGTGACGCGAAAGCTGCGAAAAGATCCTGCTCAGAAATCTTTTAAAATTAAACGTAGACATGCTAATTAATCCAAACAATAAATTAACAAGCGCGAAATCTATCATCTGGTAGTTTACGTTAGATGTGGCGGAAGTTTTCAATTTTAAGCTAAGCTTTTTTTATTGTTTTTTAAAATTTATAAAAATTTTGTTCAAAATGTATTCCAAACCATTAATAGAGCTTTCGGTATATTCAAAAATCAGCCTGGTACGAGCAGTATGGTCTGGAATACGATCTACCTCACTCTTGTCTAGCAACGAGGCTAGTTTGATCCAGCTGTTAAAATTTTGCTTTCATTTAATATTGACTCCCATTAGAACCTTAACCAAATAGATTTTAAGGACATTTGAATTCTCCCAATCATTCCAAACAATAAATAATCACTTTGTCCGTTACTTTGTCCAAAGTTCGAACAAAAAAAATAACTCAAAGGCTCTGGCGAAATTCCGGATTCAAATTTTGGTTCCGTGTATCTGTACACTCACATCATCGCCCGGGTTGTCGAAAGTGACTACGGTCGCCCCTCCCTCGAATCCACAAGCAGCCACAGCCTTATCCTGACTCACCGGGCCAAGATCAACCAGCATCTTGTAGCAATGGTCCAGACCTACAATTTCAAACTCATTACCGGGTCATTTCTCAAGGCAGAAATACCAAAAACTCACGCACAAGTTTCCAGCCAATCAATGTCTTTCAATTACTTTTAAGCCTTGACTGATTTTTCAGGACCTTTTTTCTGACTTGAGGGAACCTTTTTTATATTAATTGACTCTTGGTTGACATTTTTCAGATAACTTTGAGGAACACAATAATCTTCAATAAGAAGTAAGGCGTCGTCGTTATGGAATTCAGGCTTGTAATGAGATAATATATTGAAACAAAAATTACGTCGACAAAATATGAAAAATGTTCGAAATTAATTCAAGCAAATTCTTAGTATTTTAGTGATTTATTAGTATTTGAATGCAGGTCAAAACTAAAGGTCGTAAAGTAGAAATAATAAAAACCGATATGTTTGTAATTAAATGTTTTTTCTTAATTAATTTTGATCGGTAATTTGATGAACTAATCAGTTTCACAATGCTGAGGTTTTTGAATTTCCAGCTAATAAAAAAAGCTCGATTTTAAAAGAAAACGCCTTAAAAAATGCCCTGAGATCTTGTTTGGAACTAATACTGACCTTCTATTCTTTCAAATCCGTGGAGACATTCTGAAACAAAACTATAAGCGGTCATGGCTAGTAAACTTTGAAGTTCTCCTCATAGAAAAATTGATTGCACACCGGCAAAATTGAAAAAAAGCAAAAAATCAGTAAAATTAATCGTAGAACGAACGTTTTCATTTTTGAACGAAGAAAAAGATCGCTGTTCGTTATGTTTCTTCTGTGCAACTTGCTGAGTAAAAAATCATCAATAACTCATCTTTGAAACTTAGGGCCCGAATTATAACGACAGTTGTGCGCAATTTGCATTAAAACGTGGCCAATGTATGTTTTACGTATTCAGTGTATATTTTCCACACTTACTTTCAGTACAGGGTAGTTTTGCTTCCTGTTGGAACGTCGAAGACCTGGAAAAAAAAACAGTTTTATTTTAAAAACAACATCTGAGGTCCAGAGTACATAGCAAGTAGAAAAAATGCCCCCCTAAACCAAACAGTTTTGGGAAAAGGTTGCCTCCGCGCTCTTTATCTTAATTCTGGTCCCCGAATTTTCCCAGAACGCCAAACTCGGAGATCTTTAATTACAGCAGCCATTTTCAGTGAACGAGTTTTAGTTTTTTATGGGGCGCTTTTCGAGTAGCTTTTTAAAATCTGAGGGAGTAGCGCTAATTTGGAAAAAAGACAAACACGGTTTTTAAATTTCAAAATTTCGTTGCTGAATGTCAGTCGGCACCGTAAATTTCTCTTGAATTTTGGCAATTTTTTTAAAGCTTTTCAAAAACTCCAATACAGAGCCGCAAAAATCAGTGTAACAAACTTTAGGAAAACTTTTCAAAAAAATATTACAGCCAAAAATAGTACTTTTAACATGATGTACTTACATGATACCTTGCTGGACGCAAGAAGCCATCAGTACGACAGCTGACAAACTAATCGTCATCGAACCAAAATTCTTCATAATTTTTCAATTTTAAGCAATAAGCATCTGAAAAAAAAAACAAATTAAAAAAAAAATTATGTAATTTGTATTTAACTAATGCAAGAGGAAAACCCAGCCAGGATTTTTTTCTATTTTCCAACTCTTCTTGTGAACTTTCAATAAAAAGCTTTTTTTTTAAAATGTTTCAAAGTGTTGTGAGAAATCTGGTCACTTGTTCACGCTTACACGTTTAATTGTAGATTAGAACGCCAAAAACTAATTTGAATGACTTTGGTATCTTGACCTTCGTCTATCTAAAAATACATTGGCACGATAGTCGCTTATATTCTCAGGAGATTTGAGAACACTTCAAAAACTGAACATGTTTGAAAACAAAAAACTTGCTTTATGTTATTTCTGTAATGCAGTGTCCGTTTTTTGAATATAGCTTTTGAGTTCCACGTTTTTTATGCACTCAAACAACAACTAACATCTTTAAAATGCTCAACTCCTAAATAACAAAACTACTCCTAAACTTGAGAGTGGTAGAAACAAAAGCTTGAAAAGTTGAATTGACCAGTAAAGCGTACATGTTTTGCTTGTTTTGCACATCAACTAGTAATTATAGCTTTAAGACTACAGAGGCTTCGAAAAAACTCAAAAATCGAAGCGAAGAAAAACTAAACCAAAAAATGCCAGACTTTCTATCTTACGAAATGGTTTTCCCAATGCTCCGATAACAAAAACTTTGTTAAGATAAGAAAAGATCCTTGCAAAATCATGAAAAATAACCATACTCAGCCAAAATTGTGCAGGATGGCCAGGACTCAAGCATGAAGTTTCAAGATTGCTATGTTGCTTTGAAGTTCTAAAATGCTTTTTTGGCAAAGAAAAAAACTCAGGCGATAGCCAGTAAGAGGAACAAGATTTTAGTGCTAAGAATATCGATCAGTCACCCTATAGAAAATGAGCATGTAATCCCCTTAAAAAGGTGTATTTGAGCTCTTTCTTGCTTTTAACGTTGCTTTGGACTGAATAGCTATAAATTAATTGGTTGTACGTGTTTCCTAAGTCAGTTTTGTATTTTTTTTTCAATTTTGAATTTCCTGTGTTCTGGTTTTTAATTTCTTTACCGGATTTTTCCTGGCTCCTTATGAAAAATTGAAGCCATCTAAGATGGTTTTCAATTGTCAGATTGGCATATAACACTCGGCCTCATTTTGCAGTTGCAAAAAAAAATTTGGAAAAAAGGGTTGGGGTGATTCCTGTTTATAAAACTTAACACGATGGCTTAACTGTCGCTTAAGTGTCTGATGAAGTTATCTGCTATGGCTGCCGGCGCCAAGGCTGGTTTAGGATGAGGTTCCCATTGTCGTTTGCTGGTTCATTGCAATAGTCCGGGCTAACAAGTGCTAGCCTAGTGGCTGGTATAGACACAAGTTTTTATCTTGTTTTGACGATGTAAACGCGGCTCTGTTCATGATCGGTTGATTTGTTTCCTGTGATCCGTCCACTTAGCTGGAGTCTTCGTGGCGTCATATCCTGAATAATCCAATTTTTTCCCCTTTTGGTTGGCTGCGTCTTCTTTGTCCATCGTTAAAATGTCAGTAGTGTTGGGATAAACACCTTGATCAGGCGTTTCCAAAAACGGGTTGCGAGTTGTTGGGCAAATTTCCGTCGCCGACTGAGTGTTAAGGGCTGTTGGATTGAGAGCATGCACTCTCCCGAGAAGACAATGATGTGGGCTGTGGGCTTCAACATCATCGGGCGATGATGAAACTGTAGCAATGGGTCTTGCGTTCATGAAGTGTTCAACTTCGAAAAAAAAATTGTTGAATGTGTCGTCTGTTAGATTTTGGCTTCCTATGATAGCATAGAACGAGTCTTCTACTTATCTTACGAGTCGTTCCCATACGCTTCCAAAATGAGGATTTGCATGAGTTGGACAGTCCTTTACTCAATGCTTCTTCAAGTTCGGCGTTTTTTCCTAGTCCGTCCTCATTGGAAAAGCGTGGCCAAGTTTCCTTCCACGCTGGGTTGAAACCGTTGTGTCCAGTGTATTCAAACTGGACACAACGTTTCAACCCAGCGTGGAAGGAAACCTGGCCACGCTTTGCCAATGAGGACGGACAAGGAAAAAACGCCGAACTTGAAGAAGCATCGATTAAAGGACTGTCCTCATGCGAATCCTCATTGTGGAGGCGTATGTGAACGACTCATAAGAGCAGTGGAAGACTCTCATTCTATGCTACCATTGGAAGACACTCGCACCTAGCCCGTTTCGTGTGACGTATAAACTCCGGCCTAAAACCACTGAACTTTGACTGTTTGGGTTCGGTACCAGACAAACCTGCTTGCTATCACTCAATGGGTTTAAAATTCTCAAACTAAAAATCGCTACTACTGCCTGCCTGGGCTCTAAGTTTACTTTTCTGTCTAAGAAAACTGGTATCTTATTCTCATCAGTTATTATCCTATTTACTTGTCGCTTAACAAACTTCCTGTCTGGGTTCCTAATCCTTATCAGCTTATTATGGAGGTCGATCATCACGTCGATATTCCTGACAAAGTCACACCCCAGGATGAAGTGATCGGAATCATCCAGTTTCTCCACCACGAGGAAACTCATCCATAGGTTCCGTCCTCACATTTGGAGGACTGTTATTGGGGTATTGTTGGCCACACAGTTGCCTCCGCGATTGCCGGCTGCCAATCTTAGGTTTGTTGATATCATTCCTCCCTGATCAAACCCATCTTTTCCCATGCCTTTATCCGCATTACACTGATTACTGCTCCTCCGTCTTGGAATCTTGTTACATCGATCTCTTTTCCATTGGTGTCTAGCAGATGTGCAGTCACATCTGCTTCGTATCCAATGTGTACTGCATCTTGTTCCTTCATGGCGTCATGAAAAATTCTACAGACCTTGAGCTCTTCTCGACCCAAATAATTCTTTCCTATTTGGTCATTGTATGTTGTGACGTAGATCTTGGTATAATTTCTAATACCATCCACGTTTAGCATCATTTGATATGGTCCGTAGACTTCCACCTCACTTCCGTGGAATTTCATTGTTCGAGTGACATCCGTCGTTAACAAAGCTCGCACAGCCCTCAACTCAGTGCGTGGCTCTGCTTGTCTCAAATAATCTGCATAATTGTTCAGATGCATCATGGCGAACTCCTATGATTCAATCAGATTCCTGATTACCTGATGCCCTGCTACCGAAAAGATTGACTGTATTATCCTGCTGCCTTGTGGCATCATCCCGAATGTCTGTCTTAAGTACACATTCAATTTGAGTTCTCTCGTTCTCCAGTTCTCCTTGACCTTTTGTTTGCATTTCCCTTGTCACCAACTTCTGTTGAACTCTACTCAGGGAATCTCCTGCCGCTGCTTTATACTCAATCTTAAAGTCATTAGCTGTGGTCTCAGCCTCTGTTCCACTCGTTTCTTCTAGTAAGGCTTGCATATTCTTCGTAGCCAGCTCCTGTGGTTTCTCCTTCGTCCGTGCTTTCGCCTCGCTCATCAGGCATGCCTTGCTGGCTTTAACGCCTGACTGAGCCTTTTCATGCCTTGGATGCTTGATAACCATCACAGCATCCCAAAGTTAAGGGCCATCTGATTTGAAATGACCCTGTAGGTTGCAAAAAAATTCCTGGGGCCAGATTTTGCAATCAATCTTCTCATAAAATCCTCATGATTGATGTCCGACGAGTCCTCAACTTCAAGGCTAAAACCAATTGCTTTCATGCCTCGTTTTTATGTTGGGCGTGCCAATACATGATGGTCTTAGGAACAGCAATTTGCAGATTAGCTTCTCTTGTCCTTGTCATTCCTGGGCTTGTACCAATTATTACCTTGATTTGCAGGTCCATTGTTAAAATTGACATAAGTATTTTTTTTTACTAGCCTCATTTCATCGTAAGTTTCAATAATAGATCTTCCTTGGACTTCAGTCGCAGCTCTTCCGGCGTTGGTGCATTGGTTGAAACAGTTGTGTAATGCGTCGCTAACATTTTTTTGAGTTCATAGTTCTTCACACCATCAAGGAATTTTAAAGCTACTGCCAAGTTCATCCTTCTGTTTGACTCGTCCGGATGATCACGCCTTCAGCGTATTTCTAAGTCATCCATCAACTTGTCTACGGTTTCATATTCACGTTGCCTGCTTTTCTCAAAGCGCATCATTGCTTGATGTTCATGCACTCCCGAGCCAAAGCGATTCAACAGGATTTCGTTGACTTTCTCAGCGGTGTCCCGCTGGTTTTGCTTTTTAGCCATCACGCATGTACCTTCCAAGCTGCTGGTGAGCGCACTGCATTCTTGTCTTTCTGTCAAGTATTCCATCTCAAAATGCAGTTTCATGACTTCTATCCAGGTATCTATACAGCCGTCAGGTTCATCCTTATAACATCTCGGTTTCTTGAACACACTTTTAGATTTCTGCTTGCACTCACTGGTCACAGACAACCTGTGAAAAAAGTCTCCACGGACTTGTTCAAGGGTTCGACCGCTCTGGCCATTGCTATTGCAACCCGTGAATATCCCGCTGGATCGTTCAGATTTGTTGTTTGAAGCTCTGATACTTCCCTCCTCTACGAGTCGCTGGTCTCAGCTGTTCCCTGGTTCGAGTGATTCCAGTTTGTGGAATCACCTTTTCCACTCACCTGAGCTTCTCGCCTAGGTCGTTCGTTCGAGATTGGCTTACTGCCAATAGATCTTCCTCTGTTATTCGCTGGAATCTTAGGCCGGTGACTCCCAGTGGCGTTGCTGGATGAGCTAACCCCTTCCTCTTGTGGACCCATAGGTTCTTTCTCTGTTTGGATGCTCGTTGAAGTTCACAATCAGCTCTCTGCTAGCCTCTCTCGAGTGTGCTCCTCTATTCCTAGACCCGCTCTTGTTTCCCAGGAGGCCATCCAATCTGTCCATTATGACCTGAGTGCGTCTTTCCATCATCGCGTCTATCCTTGTATCGAGAGTCCCAAGAGTCTGCTCTTGTTGACTCCGAAGTTGCTCCAGGTCAGCCCTCAATTTTTTATCTCTTTCCCCAAGATCCCTTGTCATTCGCGACAAATTCCTGGCCAAGTACTCGTCCGTCTTTTCCTTTAAACGGTTTTCGCTTCTATTAACTTCCTGTCTGCTGCGATTTATTTCCTCCCACAGGCTTTTTCTCTGAACATGAACTACTCTTTCTAGTTCACTCATTTTTATTGATATATTTACTTTCTGCTCACCCATGCTAACC